GACAGAAAACTATGCTAAAAAATGGGAAACACTATGACCAATGGGCAGTAAGGTCCATGACCTTCATAATTTCATATCACTACTATCTTATGTAAGCCAATCTTTGCAGTTACAAATTTCAATTGGATTCATTTAAAAACATGAATACCACCGCTGTTCACCAAAGGTTCCAAAAATTGTTCAAGATTTTTGTTACGATGCTCAGTAAAAGGTACCCAATATAGTGAACTTACTTTTCTGATAGATGGTCTAGTCTTCTTGTGACTGTTTCTGGAAGGCTGGAAAGTCGCCATAACTATATTACTGTTGTAAGTAATCAATGAAGAGTTAATCCATAAAACACCTAGAGAAAATATATTAAAAGAAAACAACTAGTTTATTGGGCTTAGTGACTCAGGTAAGCATTCTATCCTAAAATAATTTTTTAAATATAATAATCTAAAAAAGTTTGAGTCGTAAAATTTACTTAGTAATCTAATATTTTTTTAAAATCTGAATATTGGTACTTTAAGGGAATATCAAATTATCACAAATGTCTTATTTTTAAGTTCTAAATTATGAAGCTCTTTACCTTGATTTTATCTCACTGACTGCCTTTATTACAAATACGAAAAATTTGAAAGCCTCACTAAGAAACCTGGAAAACCTTTTAGAATACATAAAAAAAGAGTATTAAGGGCCCTCCCTGATGGCGCAGTGGGTGTAAGCGCAGCACGGAGAAGTGAAGGCCACTTCTGCATGAGTTCCATACCCGCCTGCCCTGGAGATGATCCACATAGCATGCAGGCCTCTCCTGATCCACCCCTTGCTGCCCTTAGCAGTGTACTTCAATAATCTGCCTGTTCTGCTCCCCACTCTATCTCTGGTGAAGCCTCTCACCACCCACACCTCTGGCCTGCATACCCCATTCTGCATGAATAAATAAATAAATCTTTAAAAAAAATTAAAAAGTATTACAAAAAGAATACTAGATTTTCTGCCTCCCAAAGTCACTCTCTACCTATAGGAACAGTAAGTCTGATCTAGACATAATTTCTTGGACAGAAAGTTTTGATAATACACAAAGGAGAATATTAAATTAAAGCAGATGAACAAAACCAATGTCCTTGTATAAGAACTATATATTATTACCCCACTTATCCAACTAACTTAATCTAAGAATTGAAAATAATTTATAGGAGGCACTTTGTAAACCATAAAAGAAAAGTTCTAACATTTACCTATGGACAAAACCATCAAACTGACCAAAATTCTCAATATGTGGTTTAAGTGTAACACTTTACATATTGTCCACACAAGAAAATAATCCCTTTAATTCTCCCAGGCCAAGTGACTCTTTTTTTCCCCACAGTTCTCTGACAACTGCCAGAAACCCTCAGAGGCAAATTGGACTTGCCTCAAACTTCACAAAAATCATATACTGAAGCCAAGACAAGGGTTCCAGAGAAGTAAAACCCTCAAACTAATCTCCTCAATAAGCCAGCACCATCTTCCTGGAGGACAAGTCTATAATGCAAAAATATTCCTCCCCTATGACACAGCAATTCTGTTTCTGTGAATTCAAGGGAAACAAAGAACCTAGAGCACTTAGGGCCCTAACCAGAGTTTTTAAAATGCGAAATAAATATTTTGCTAAGAGATTTAGTCCTCAGAACTGGCATTGTACTCCAGTTTTACAATGAGAAAAACTGAGGCAAGAGAAGTTAAGCAATTAGCATAAGCCCACATAGTAAGCAGTGTAGCTAAGATTTAAATCCAAATCTTCAGGACAGAATTCTAAGTAGATTCCACAAAGTAGATTCTTTCTTGGTCATGTAAGGTTGGAAATAAAATTTTCTGTCCTCAACTAGGAGATTTATAATGCAAAGTAATATAAAGTAGTTGTAAAACAAGTCAAGGATCCATAAATAAATGTGAGAGATTAGAAAATTCAAATCTTCAAACTCTAAACATCCAGGCTCTTAACGGCTCTTCTAGGTTTTGTAATAGAAATAAAGAGGCACTCCTGATTCCAGAAACAGGAAAGTGGTTAAATAACCTAGAGTGCATTCCCATAACAGGATGGCAGTCATTAAAAACAGCTGAAGGACAGAGGAACAGCAAGCATACAAAGCATCTTTGATTTTTCTGACTCAACCTTGTTTGAAAGGGAGGAGTCTTGAAAAGAGATGGGAAACCGCAATTACCTCTGCAGCTGCTGGCTAAAGTCAATAGAGAAAAAATTAAACACTAACACATAGGAGACCTTGCCAGGAAAGTCAATTATCTGGGTGTACTACTCACCTATACTGTGACATCCCATGCCCCTGAGGCAGAAGAAAGTTATAAGGAGCTGGGGTGGGGAAGGAGGTCAGGCTGCTCTGAGATAACATCACAGATTTGATACCTCTAACTACCCTAATTCACTTTATCTATATTATTCTTGAATAAAATAAGTGTTATCTCCCACACTAAAGTCTATCAGAGACTATCTATGCTATGGTCCATAAAACTGAACCTAGCGCATACTTCTGGTAAAGCAAAGGGTAAATCATCTTTGGAAATAAACAAAGATAGATGGAGGAAAATTTCTTCACCAGTTTATATAATGAGAGAATGTAGTTTCAGATAGATTTCAAAAAAGGAGCAAAAATACAGTATTTTCCCCAGAATACCTGTGTTAACACAAATATCTTTTGTTTTATGATAATTTTTTTACTTAATGCATTTTTGTTTTGCCATATTTTGGATGAGTAACAGTTATAGGCAGTGATTAGCTACATATTTTTCTCTATAACCAAATTAAAATGAACTTAGATCATTTTTTAAAGTGTATCAGAAACAAAGTACAAATGAACAAGACAAGTAAGCTCAAGAAAGACACAAAATATTTAAATAAATGAAGGTCCGGTAGAGGCAGAAAAAGAGATGCTGCTAATGCAAGGTAAAGTTTAAGAAATATCACAAAATGCAAAAGAAAATAAATTGAAAATAATTAAAGAAACCATGATAGAAAAGATCACACTTTCAATAAATTATTCCTATCCTTTGATCCTGCATTCTCACTTCTTAAAATTTATCCTTCCTGTACATGTCCACAGAATTCATGAAGTCATACAAGAAAGAATACCCACTAAAAACAAAAGATAAAAACCAAAAATAATCTAGAAGTCCATTGATTCAAATAAATTACAATTCTGGATTATCCAGCATCAAAATCAAAGCATACTGACATCACAGCATGTCCACAAGATATTAAGGGGAAAAGCAAGTTACAGAATAGTGTGCTTATATGTGTTTTAGTACACAAGTAGGAGATATTATAAACACATATAAAATATATACTAAACTCCTAACAGTGGTCACTCAAGAAACATAGGACATTATTTAATCTTATTAAATATCAGAAACCTATGGTTTGGGAAGACAGGATATTAAGTAAAATAAGTTCCAACATGTTTACATTACTCCATTTTGTATAAAATCTGTATTACTATATGTGAATATATGCAATATGGGAAATGTTCTATCAGTTGGATTATGTATTTAAAATAACTACTGGTTTTATCTAGGTAAATGCAATTATGTTTTCTATTTCTTAGATGTGCGAAATTTCTTTTAGAATAATACTTTTTAAATTCCCAATTTTCTCCTCTCCTGTGTCCTAAGAAATAGTCAAGTCAGCATCATCTACTCCTTGACCTTTTTACAGCACAAGTTAAACAAGTTACAGAGAATCCAAAATGCTTTCCTAGTCATCAATATTGTCTTATCATGGTGCTCTTTCTACTGCACTAAATCTCAAACTTTAGAATACACGTAGATCACTTTACTTCTAACACAATCAACACCCTACACCCCAGAAGATACAGACTCAAGAATACGTAGAACCCAAAAATCTTTAATTAAAAGGACCTATGTGATTTCTGATGTAGAGAAAATAAAGAATCAAGGGGCAAAAAATAACTATAACAAAGTAAAAATTCAAATCATCAGGCAACTATAGATGAGAGATATTCTACAGGGGAGGAGGGGGGAGTAAGGTCAAAACAAAAGCGGGAAGAGCACAAGAGACTATGGTGATGGTGTCCAGATGAATTAGTGGTGGGAATTTCACAGGGAAATCATACATTGTCCAAAAACAAAGATGATATAATGAAAATAGTTTTTAAAATTTTAAAAAAAGAAACACTTGCCTTTCTCTTTCCCCAGATATTATATTAATATCCTTCCCTAAATTTTCCTTATTATTCAATTATTAATGTTTTCTACTATCCCTCGATAGTATCCTCTTTGGTATTCATTGTAAATAGTTATATAGTTATTCAAGGAATTTTACCTCCCTGATACATACAAATAACTCCTTAATGTTTATCTTATCAGTTCTTGCACCAAAGTTTCAATTCCTAATAACCATTTTTCTATAAGATACTTCTGTCGTCAGTTATTACAAAAATATTATGTTCTAAAACTCTCTCTCTAAACAATCTCTTCCTATTGCCTCCACAGTAGAAGGAGCCAGTAAACCAAACCTGTAGGCCAAATTGGAAACTGGCATTTCCCTCACCCCTGATCTTCCTAAAGGGTCTTCAAATTTACCCTCTCTTCCATAATCTGAATTGATACTTATTCTTTCTGCCTCAGTTCTAGGACTTCCTTCCTGTGAAAGGCTTGTTTTTTCCTCCTTGTGGACGGTTTGGTTCATCTCTTCTATCCTTCCTTGCCTCCATTATGTTTTACCAAGTAGTTTGTCCTTTTGCTGCCATGTTTCACATGCATCCCTCCTGTTGTGAGTTCCTTGAGGACAAAAGTGTTAACTGTATTCTAACATAGTAGGCTTTCAAAAATCTTCTCAATTAGTAACTAAAAATTAATCCTTTTAAAGAGCAAAGTATGCCTTTAAATGTTTAGGTGGCAGGCCTCCCTGGTGGCCTAGGGGTTAAGTCTCAGCACTGTCACACAATGGCAGGGACCCTATCACCAACCAGGGAGCTGACCCACAAGGCACAGCGTGCAGTTTCACCTATTGCTCCCCTTAGCAGTGCATTTCAGTGGGTATGTCTGTTTTGCTCCCCACTCTGTCTCTCTCACTCCCCCACTCTAGCCTACATCCTATTCTTTTACACAAAAATAAAATCTTTTTTAAATAAATAAATGTTTAAATGGATACTTTTATATTTCACAAGTTATATGTAAAAATCCAATTAGAACTTTGCAATAATTCTAGTTTTATAGTATTTTGGAATGTATTTAAAGTCTCCAAATACAATTTTGACCAAATACCAAACATCCAATTATTTAATATTTTGAATATTATAAGTACAACAAAGGAGGACTAAACATGTAAAAAATTGGTTGTCAAAC